GGACGGTGCTCCTCCGCATTATGCGTTAATTGTCCGTCAGTATTTGGACCAACGTTTTCTACGGAATTGGATTGGGAGAAGAGGCAGCATTGAGTGGCCTCCACGATCACCGGATTTATCGTCCCTTGATTTCTTTTTGTGGAGATACCTAAAAAGTAAAATCTATAAAACACAGCCAGTGTCGCTGGAAGATTTGCATCAAAGAATCGTCGACAAATGCCGTCGAATCACTGCGGAAATGCTTCGGAATGTGCGCGAACGTTTCGAACAAAATCTTTATTCTTGTATGGAAGCGAGCGGTTATCAGTTTGAACACTTACTCAACTAAGTAGTAAGTAAACAAGTAAACATAATTTAAATTTTAAAATGTAAAGTATTGGGCGGAATTATAAAATTTAAGGTCTGTTGTAAAGAGAATTGTAAGAGCTTTTAAAAGAAATATTACTCAACCCTCAATGCCATTTAAATATTTTGGGGTGATGCTTACCCTTGCTTGGGGGTGAAAGTGGCGGAGTCAAAAATACCAGCAAAGAATGTCCCCCTTTAATCTAAAATCGATGGGTCTGAGCGTTTTTCTACAATCTTGACGTAGTTCCTGAAAATTGCTCTGTTTCATTTTCATTTGGCCACCCTGTATATGGGATAATAAATGTGTATTTTATTTCAGGTGTGTTTTTTCATTTTATGGTACGGAATAGTGGAAGAGGAAGAAATAGAAGAATTACGAGGTGAAAAAGGCGTCATAACAGCATTAACAACCATTCTTTTCTATTCTGTGTTTGGATATTTCGCAACAAGAATCAGAGATATTTGCCAAAATGGTAGAGCCAGGTCAATTCAGTCAACTCTATCCATGCGAAGCTACTTCAAATGGTTATGTAAAATTATTCTCGAATGGGCCAAAGCGGTAGTAATAGTCCTCTGTTTAAGAGAACAAGGAATTAATTACGATCCAAGTTTGATTTATAGTATAGTAACATTTGTGTATTACCTGTGTACTGAGAGAATATTTCTAGAAATTATTCCCTCTTTAATAGAAATTTTAAACATTGAATCCATGGAGAACCTGGAACATCTTTATGTACCCTTGTTTTTAAACATACTTACTATTATATCCGGGATAGTTCTTATTTGCGTTACATTACTTAAGAGATTTTCTAACTTTGTGTTGCTAACTATTTATTTTCTCGTCTATTTACGAATAAAGGATGCCTATTACAATTACTGGCTACTGCTTGTTGCTGAGAGAGAGACATACTCCAGTTTTCGCTCAGCGACAGAAAGGGAAATTCAAGAATGGGCAGATATTTGTGCAGTCTGTTTAAATCATATGTCCAGAGCTAGGATAACTCCTTGCAATCATCTATTCCATCCGTATTGTCTTAAACAATGTCTGAAGACCTCTTTTTATTGTCCTCTGTGTAAACGACATTTTATGGAAACAAGTGGTGAAAGTTAATAAACACATTATAATAAATTGCTTTTTTACTAAATTATGATTAGTTCCAGAGATGTTTCTTGACGCCGAAGATGTTGGCACTTTTAATTTATAATGTATATTGAAAAACATGAAATTTTCTACTGAAGGATCTCTTTACTTACGAATACGAATAATATAGAAAATAGATTAAATTATATTATGATGGTTTTTTTCCTCTATTACGGTTTTTTTTGTAAAATTTTTAATGAGATACTTTTGTAATAATACGTAACCAAAATTTTAAAATAAAATAATTGCTAGAGAAATTCATCGATGTGTACATTATACATGCAATTGCATATAAATACGTTTTGACTAAACAGGTAAAATTAAGGTTTACAATGCAGATATAGGAAAAGATTGGTCCTTAAAATTTAGAGCTCAGTTAATTGAGCTAAATAAAATTACGTAATTTATTTACAGGACGTAACTGATACGCTCACACTTGTTCAGTTGGATACAATAGTAGTTTTTTCAATGGTACCATGTGCTTAGGGATAAAACAAAAATGTTATTGAGAAGTTGATAAATATCTGGGAAGATGACAAAACTTAATAAAAAAACTTGTCTTAAAAACCTTCATTTTCGAAATATAATGCAGAATCTCTAATTAAAAGGAATATGTGCTATTTCTTAGATAAAGTATCGAAGAAAAAAAAATGTAATTTATGAAAAAGAAAAAAATTTTCGAAAATACCTAGGTATGTACCTATATATCAATGATGCTGAGACTAAATTTAAAATTTGGTTAATGTCGTAAACACAAACAAAAAACCAAAAAGCGGTAGCAGAGTATAAAATTTAAAATAAATTGAATTTGAATGGTTATATTGTACAGTTTGATAAGTTTATTTAAACAAAAGTTTTATAAAAAATCAAGATTGACGGTCGGCTACCGATCGGTAAAATAACGCTCGTGTGTAAGAGGTGTACCTAAGTCTTGTAATACATCTTTACACAAAAAATGACTACAAAACATTTGTAGTTTATAAACATAACCACTGTTATAAACATTGTTTAATTATTGGTACAATTTTAGCAAGTTCTTATTCAAGTGTTGTCATCGTGTTACGTAAACAGGTAATGTCTTAAATGGGAAAAAGAGTTACTAGAGAGATGGATCAATATAGGTACCTACCTTCTAAAATCTAGTTCCGCTTAGTGAATCTAATAAATAAGTAGTTATTGGCAAAGTTCGGGACTAGGTTGGATGATCATAGCCGTCGCGTCGGCCTTTCACTACAACGCACCGTACGAAACCAGTAACAACGGCAGTTATACGTGTATACGTGTATTCGTGTATACGTGTTTTAATATTCTAATAATGTCGACCGAGCCAAGAGGTAAAAAACGACCTTTCGCTGATAAAATACGCAAATTTATTTATTTTTATTTATACCTACTTGTTTATTTATTATTATTCTCTTCTGAAGATGATATTAAATTAGTAACTATGATTATCATTTTAAGGAGCATTCAATTTATGGACACGCAACAGTAGTACCATTTGTCCAAAATGCAAACCAAAAAAAAATAATAATCTAGCTGAGAATGATGTAGTAATTGCACTGAATTGAAAACACAAATTAAATTTATCAGTAGATCATGCTACAACTTTAGAATCTATGATACCTACAACGTACAGCCGTTAAAGAAAAACTGTGTTTCGTAACAATTTGTTCCTATCGATAGTCAGCCAATTCATTAAATTCGTGCAGCAAGTGTAGTCGTGTCGGTTCATGTCTCTTGTGTTTCTGCGATCAATTCACGCAGAACAAAGGAATTTCCGAACAGTATCAAATGGAAGGAAGATAATATAAAATTAACTACATATTTTGGAACGCATTACATTAATCTTTTTCTCTTAACTATTATTGGCTTGATTTTGCTGGTATACGATCGTACATGTGAGGAGACTGAAATAAAAATTCCAAATCACTTACTCCACCACCTTACCAACATTTTTCATTTAGGCTAATTGGCCATGTTGTAGTGTGTTTGCATAATATTTGGGGCGTTTTACGGTCGTTTTGACCATCTTAAGGGCGTAGTCGTTTTGGCTTTTTTACCCGCATTATAAGGAACATGCAGAAAGTGGTTTTCACTCTGCTTAAACGAAAAGCATGAGTAGCCATATCGTAGTTTTAATTACCTTACCCGTGAACTCTGCAGTTATTTGGAGATTATACGGTCGCATTGACCGTCTTAATTGGGCGTAGTAATTTTGGCTCTATCTACTCATTTCACGGGGCATGTAGAGTGGCTTCAACACTTCCTACATGTGAAGTCTAATAACTAGTTTAGTAGTTATTTTAACTATTTCGCCTGTAAACTCGTTTTGGAAATTTGGCGCGTTAGTATCATACTTTTGGGATATTTCTTTCACCAGATGCAACTTAGTACTACTAGGTTGCACTCGGTGAAGAAACGTGTATTATAGCAAAAATAACCCTACCTATTTTGTTTATACATTTATTTCTCTATTTGTCTACAATATGTTCTATTTCTCTCTTTCATGTTCTTAGAAGCAGAAATTTCTAGTGTCCGACCGAACTTTCGGTTTCGGTTTCGGCCTAGTTTCGGCAAAAAAACGGGTTTCGGTTTAGTTTCGGTTTCGACTGCCATCCAGCCGAAACTACGGCCGAAACCGAAACTGAATTCGAGAGATTTCGCACTGCGATCGGACATGCTCGATGCACTGAGCTGCGAGCGACGAAGAGTCATTTTGCCTCGTCCACGCTTATAGTCGTGTCATAATAAACTTGTTTTGTTTGTGCCTGTGCATCGCAAAATTTGCATTAAAAATTTCTAGTTGTTGTACTTAGTAGGTAGGTAGGTACTTTTTTATTTTAATTTTATTGTAGTTGATTAACAAGAGTGCCATATAAAATGGCCAAAGTTTAGAAGTTATTTTGTTCTTAAGATGAAAGATATTTTTTTGTTTTCTGTAAGTACCTAAACATATTAGGTAAAAAGTAATTTTGTTTTGTACCTTTTATTTTCTGTTATTCGTAAGTAATATTAAAAATAAATAGTAGGTAGTAGGTTCAAATTATTATTTTTTTTTATTTATTTCAAAAAGTACAAATAATTTACTTGAAATAAGGTGTGATAATATGTTACATTAATGATTAGTTCAAATATCAGAGATTAAATAAAGACTGACTAATTATGATTGACTATTTATTTTTCTTCCCACAAAAATATGACATTATATGGAAGTTTCGGTTTCGGTTTCGGCCGAAACTGAGACCGAAGCCGAAATTCGGTCTCGGCCGTAAAAAGTAGTTTCGGTCGGACACTAGAAATTTCTATACCGTTCTTAGAAACTCATGGGAATTTCAAGAAATACATTGCAAGAGAGTATTTTGAAGATTGAGTTGCATTTTTTTATTGTGAAACAAGAAAGTTGTCAGTTTGTAAACTGTTGTGTATTAATTGTGCTATACAGGGTGTTTCTGAAATAAGTGCATTCCTTGGAAAGGGCACGAAAAAGAGCAACTTTTATTAAGCAACATAATGGTCTAAATGCTGCTGTTTTCGAGAAAATTAACTAAGAAGGTTAACCATAATGTAAGCCGACCTTGTGCATCTTGTGCATCAAGCAAATCCGATGGTAGGTCAGTAGTCAGTATGTCTTTTTTTCTTTAATTATGTGTTGCAGTATTATTTAGCCGGCGTATAAAATGTTTTCTGTTTAAGAACTAGCAGATACGGAGAATGTCAGTACAATTTAAATGAGACTTGTCGTTTGTATGCGGTCCGTTACCGTAACAGTAGAACAGTGTAAAAGGCAGTTCAAAGGTTACGGAATACCGGCAATGTCCACCTGACACATGAAGATCGTGAACGGAAAAGGCTGCAACATGTTTTCGATAACGGAAAAAAAAATTATAATAAACCTTGTTGAGGAAGATCCGAGGCACAGTACTCGCGACATTGGCCAAGAAGTAGGTGTATCTAACAGTACCGTGTGGCGTGTACTATAGGAATAATTATTACATCCCTATTATGTATAAAGGGTACAGGCATTAAATAACAATGCTTTTCAGCCCCGTGTAGAATTTTGCCAGTGGTTTCGACATCAAATAGCACAAGATCCGGATTTTACAAGCAGGGTGCTTTTTAAGGATGAATGTTGTTTTACTAGAGACGGCATTCTAAATTTTCACAATATTCACTATTGGTGTGATGTAAATCCTCACGTTGCACAGAGATCTCGGTCCCAGCAACGGTTTTCAGTGAATGTGTGGTGTGGTGTTTTTGGCGACAGAATTTTGATCGTCGTTTGGAAGCATGTTTATTAGCACATCGAAACAACTTTGAACAGTTTTTGTAGAGCATATATCGTCGTTTATTCGTTTAATTTTTGTTTTACTTTTAAACGATTTGATGAAATTTCAGCATTTTCGATTACAAAATTTAATCGCCATAGCGCTTTCGCACTACAACGCGCGTTAATTTCGATATCAAAGGTAAAGTTGTTTCAAAATCTTATGAGCTTTGACCTTCATATGCGCAGAAACATAATTCCGACCGTTGCCTAAATTATTCTACGTCCTAAAAACATTACATCTATTAATCAGTCTATCTCCAACTCTCGTAGCGCAAACAAGCCTTTGATCCGATTACAAATATCATAATAAAATGCCCTTTATTCATTATTTTAATTTAAGCAATAAAATATATATAACGAACGTTCGCTAGTTGACTTTATTGATGCCCGAGCGCCTTAGTTCATTTCTGGTTGTTATGAGGCACGTGGTCTAATTCTGAGTCAATGTTTTCAAGACGTGTTTATTAGAAGAATTATGCAGATACGCCACGCCTTTCACGCATTTCGCGGCTCATGAGATTTTGAAACTACTTTACAGTTGGATACCGCACCAGGGACGGCTTTAAATTTGCTTGAATCTACATAAAATTTTAAGCGTATTCATATCTGAGAAATTGCCCCAATTTCTGGTAAAATATCCCAG